AAACCCACCAGCCACTCCTCGGAAGGAAGATGGGGCAATCTACTTCCATAGTGATACTACCTCAGAAACCCAAGGAGGGGTCACTATGAGTCGGGGCTGACTCGATAGCACATAACAACAACAACAACAAGAAGCTGAAACTCAGTACTCCTTAAGCAATATGTTTGCATATGTTTTTAACTTATAAGTGCTTTCACATACGTTTGTTCATTTGTCAGAGTAACCTAAAGCATTCAGAATGTTGTTGTTAGGTGCCATCAAGTCAACTCAGACTCGTAGAGACCCTGTGTACAACAGAGTGAAACACTACCTGGTCCTCACAATATTTGCTGTGCTTGAGCCCATCATTGTGGCCATTGTGTCCATCTCCTTTTTTTCTTCCCCTTTAATTTATCAAGCATGATATTCTTCTCCAGAGAATGGTCCCTTCTGACAACATGACCAAAGTATGTGAGAACAAGGTCTGGCCATTCTCACTTCTAAGGAGCATTCTGGTTGTACTTCTTCCAAGACAAATTTGTTCATTCTTCTGGCAGTACATGGTATTTTCAGTCTCTTCACTAACACCACAATGCATATGAGGTATCAGTTCTTCTTCAGTCTTCCTTTTTCATTGTCCAGCTTTCACATGCATATCAGGCTTTTGAAAATATCATGGCTTGGGTCAGGCATACCTTAGTTTTTAAAGTGACATCTTTGCTTTTTAGCACTTTAAAGAGGTCTTTTGCAACAGAGTTTTTGAATGCAGTACTCGTTTGATTTCTTGACTGCTGCTCCATGGGCATTGATTGTGGATCCAAGTAAAATGAAATCTTTGACGTCAACCTTGTTTCCATTTATTGTGATTTTGCTTATTGGTCCAGTTGTAAGGATTTTTGTTTTCTTTATGTTGAGATGTAATCCACACTGAAGGCTGTAGTCTTTGATCTTCACTGGTAAGTGCTTCCAGTCATCATCACTTTCAGCAAGTCGGTTGGCCAGGTTCCATTGCTGCATCTGTTTGTTGAAACATCTTAATGGCTATTCTGCCAACTCCTGGTGCCTTGATTTTTGCCAGCTTCTTCAGTGCAGCTTGGACTCCTTCCTTCAGTACCCTTGGTTCTTGATCATACGCTACCTCCTGAAATGGTTGAATGTTGACCAGTTTGTTTGGTACAGTGCTTCTGTGTATTCTTTCCATCTTCATCTTCTTCTTCTTCTTTTTTTTTTTTTTT